ATTTTTCAAACAGACACAGAAAACATCAAACTTTTCAAAAAGTCAATTTTAATATTGACTTTTTATTTGATATATTAATAGAAAAGTAATTAAGGCTGGTTACATGATAACTCTTTTCTGCTCAAATAGTAAAGCAGTGAAAATGCCAGATATATCAACTTAGCTAATTTCATCAGAAATTCAGAAACATTGTATGTAACATCAGTTATATGTTAGCATAATAATGTATTAATGGCACACATATTACATTATATTTATATATATACTCCAAATACATGTATTATTAACATAGTATAAAACATATATTATATATATAAAGATAGGATATATATAGTATAATAAACATTTTATATAATTGCATAACATATTAATATATTTATTGCATAATGTAAATTGAATAGTATATTCAGTATATGCTTACTACATATATTCCATTAATGTAACTGTCCATTATGTTGGTAAGACACTCATTTATATAATGGGTACAAGTGTCTTTTAATAAGCTTAACCAAGACAAGAGATAGGAGCAGGGAAGGATTTGAAAGAAAATGAGATAAATGGAAAATCTACCTGACAAGAGAGGATTAAACTTTCAAAATTAATGCTGAAAGATAATGTAATTCTTCTTTACATAATCAGTCAGAGTTAAAAGATAAGGAACAGAAAATAAGTCTGAAACTAAAGACCGATAATAGCACTAAAATAAAAAAGTGTAACCACTTCAGTAAACCTGGGGTGATAGTTAGAATAAAATTTTTAATCACAGGAGAAAACTTCTCTGAAACAGTTTCTTACTTTTTGACAAGTTCAGCTTGATTTAGAATGTTTCAGAAGCTACTTCTCAGGCAAGTTTGTTTTGCAGAAGATACAGTAATATGTAAATAACAGTTCAAACCTTGATATACATTTCCACGTGTGGCAGTAAATGCCTCCATAGACTGTAATTTTAAAATGTGGTATGGCTTAAAAGAGTGCAGTAATACATAGAATTTGTTATATTTCTGAAAACCAATACAAAATTAATTGGTCAATTGCTTATGAATGAGTTTCAGGGATGAGAACTCAGTAGAAAGCTGTGCATTTCCATCTTTCTCCTTACCTGTCTAACAAACACTATCATTTTGCATCTTAATTTTTATACTAGAAACTGAACTTTTGCTACACAGCATGCAGCAGTCGTTCCACATGTAACAATCCCTCGAGGCAGGATCTCCCACTAAGCAACTGGTTCACAACACCTCTCCTCTGAAAATTTAATCTGATATATATTAATTATTTTGGTAGCCTGTTATACCATCACTGCACAGTACTCAGAAATCTGGCACTGAGTTCCCTATAACTATGCTCAGTGTTTTTCTTTTTCAGTCAGTTACAGTCAGCTTAGAATCCACCACAGGCTTCCTGCAGCAAAAGATCTCATTTTTCATCAAGTCATTTAGATTCAACACTCTCAAGCCAAAATCCCGATGTTTTTCAGGTATGCACATAAACTCCCTCTGCTGCATTTCGTCCTCCTGACACAGACACCAGCTCTTTAGGGGACGAATGTGCCACTCCCCTCCCTTCCCTTATCCAAGATGGCTATGGAGAGGGCTGTTTCTGCCCTCAGCTATGATGGCTATCATAACATTTTTATGGACTTCCTGCCCAGAAAAAGGACGGACACCTCCGTGGGATCCTGCTGCCCTTACCCAACATGGCTGCGAGGTGCTCTGCCTGCTTCGGTTGTGACAGTGGTTTGCAGAAGCGAAGCAGGAGCTGACACATCCTCCTCCTCCTCCTCCCCCCGAGCACAGCACAGCAGAGCACTTCACACCAAACTCTTCGTCCACCTGTTGCTTCCCACAGTTCTAAGAGGGACACTTTCTGGTAAGCATCAAACACCTCATAAAACACTCATACAGTAATTTGTATCCTCGTTTCAGAACGCAGCCGCTCTCTGTATTTTCAGCTTAGTCTATGACTCAGCCCTTGACAAATTCTGAACTCATTAGGCAATTTGAAATAGGAGTTAAAAAGTGTGAGGGATAACTACACCCATCCAGCTCCTCTGAGAGCTGGCACTCACGCAGAGGAGGGCTCAGATTAATGGCCTCGATGAAAAGTAACTCGGTTGTTACACGAGGCATTTGGCAGCTCCAAAAAGATCTAGAAAGGCAGCTGGCACATACCATTGCTTTCCCCTTGAGACTGTCAAAATGGGATTTCTCCAGGGGATGAAGAAGGGTTCAAGATACCAACTATGCCAGTGGCTTACAGTTTAAAGGACACAGATGCTCAGAGTATTAGTTTGTTCCACTGGTCACAGCAAGGCTTGGGAAAGACACTGTACAGACAATACAGTATGGAATTTGAATCCCAATAACAATATCTAAAAATTACAAATACTCAGAGGGAACATCAGAAAAAGATATCCAGTGCTCAGTTAATTATTTTTACTCTATTCTCTTAGGCCCTATAGATGGTAATGGATCTTAATCTCTAATTTTACTTTCAAACTCCTTTCCCCATTAAGCACACACATCTCATAAACATTCTTTTCATTCCACCTGTATAACCACTTCATAACACCTGCAGTACTCATTGAACGAACACCTGTAGTACCCCTTGTTCCCACTTTTTACACCTTTGCAATTCCAAAGTGCTCTCAATTACTTTTACTTTCGCAACTCTCTCCCTCAAATATAACTCCTAATGGACTTTAATTTATTCTCTCTTTCTCCATTCTCTTTTTGTATCCTTTTCCTTCTCCCCTTTGATTACTTATGGAAGCTTGTGTGCTGTAAGCAACAGCCATACTGAATTTTAATTTATTTAAAAAATTAGTAAATTAGGATTATATTTATCACAATAGTATAATCTTGTAAACAAGCTGATGCAAGCCGTGAAGTGGTGTGTCAGATATTTTTTTTGTTCTCTCCTGTCAGGAAAATTAAGACTATGGATAAACAGTCCTAGAACTTCCACCTATCAGACTTTTTTTTGTGTTCAAAAATCAGACTTGTCTTTAATTTTGGATTTCATTTTTTTTGCTTCAAACACAGACACTCCAGTCTGGTTGTGCTGTCTTTTTCTCATTGGATTGCTAGAAGAAAACAAGGCTGTAACAAATCACATCTCCCTTCCCCAAATCAAAGTGCAGTCAAAAAGAAAGGGAGAAAAATTAAGACAGCCCTGAGATTTTACTGTGCTACAACTAAACCCACAGCCATTGTGCCTTGTGTCACACACAGCACTGCCTTACCTCGACTGCTGCTTTCCCCCTCGTCCCTGAGCTGCCTGGCCCTGCTCCACTCCTCTCCTCCACGTCTGCTCTTTCTGCCATCAGAGAACCCTCCCATGTCCCTAATCCTAACACCTTGTCACAGGGTAATTATAGCGCTGGCACGACCCCAACATCTATCTTATATCCAACAATTTCCACTTGTTTGCTCAACAGGGAATGACGGAATTAAAAATGAATTCGGACCAGAGAGGCCCGTTCAGCACCAACGACCTTGACAAAGTCATCTTTCCTTGGCTTCTAGAAAACGGGGATAAATATGATTATAGATGATGCTCCGTGACTTACTGAGGGAAGACACTGCACCAGTGACCCCACCCCAGTCCTGTCCCTGTTCCTGCAGCCACCGCTCCAAAGCTCCCCCTGGTCCAGCTACCAGCCTGCAACTAGAGAAGGTAAACACGGCCAGCGTTCCTCCCGCCCCGGGACACGGCAAACCACACTGCGGCTTCCAGGGATTTCAACCCGGGATCATAAAACGAGCAGAAGAGCAAGGGGAACGCAGGAGGATGTCCAGGAGACTCCTGCAGCCTCTGATGCGAGCTCTGCTGAGAACGTGTCACCCCAGGTTCTCCTCAGAGCTCCCTTATTTCACAGAATCACAGAATACCCTGATTTGGGAGGGGCCCCACAAGGATCATCGAGTCCAACCTTCACCCCTGCACAGGACACCCCAAGAATCCCACCACGTGCCCGAGAGCGTTGTCCAAACACTCCTTGAGCTCTGGCAGCTTTGGGGCCGTGACCACTTCCCAGTGGAGCCTGTTCAGTGCCCAACCACACTCTGGGTGAAGAATCTTTCCCTGATATCCAACATAAGCCTCCTCTGACACAACTCCAGGCCATTCCCTCCCCCTTATAAACAAGGTCTGACGGGCCCCGCTCGCTCCCTCCCTCCCGGCCAGGGCACAGCCGAGGAGAACGGCGAGGGGAAAGCGACCGCACGGGGCCGGGGGGCTCACTCACCTCAGCTCCTGCCCCCGTGCTAACACGTCCCAGCCGTGCCCTTTCAGCAATAGCCCCTCTCCCCTTTTCCCGCTCCCCTTTCCCGGCTCATCCCACCGTTTCCCCCACGCTCCCCCCCCCACACTCCCGATCTCAGCGCCCGGAGCGGGGCGGGGCCGGCGCGTGCCGCAGCCTCACCGCTCTTAGCGCGCATGCGCGGGGCGCGCCGGTGCGCACGCCTCCCGCCCCCGGCCCCGCCCCGCCCGGCCCCGGCGCCGCGGCCACACCGGGAAGGGCTCCAGGCGCTATGGCGGCGGCTGCGCGCAAGGTAAGGGGGGGAGCGGGCGCGCCCCGAGCCGCCCGCGGGGCCGCGCCAAGCGGGGCTGGGGGGACGCGCGGGGCCGCAGCGAGCGGGACGCGCTTGACCCGGTTTGTTTTCGGCCCCACAGGTCGGAGGAAAGTTCCCGCGGTCGGCGGCCGCCTGAGCGGCAGGAGCGACCGAGCGGGAGCGCCCGGGCCCGGCCGCCAGGCCTCTCCCGCCACCGGGGCAGCGGAGCGGCGCTGGGCGGGCGGAGAGCGCGGGGGTGCGCAGCGGGCCCGCCTCATGCGCAGCCACCTGCGGAGGGGCTGAGCGGAGCCGCCGCCGCCGCGCCGGGGGCTCCTGGCGGGCACTGCCCGGGGCAGCCCCTGCCCGCCCGCCCCGGCACCGCCGCCGCCGAGGGACGGACGGACGGACGGACGGACGCCGGCCCTGCCGCCGCCAGAGCCACCGCCGGGGAGCGACCTGTCAGCGCACCTCGCAGGCCGGCCCCGAGGACCCTTCCCACGCGCTGGTTTGTCCCCGGGAGAAGGAGAGTTGGGAGCCCTCTCCGTGCCTTATCAAGTTCCTTATCTGAGCGGCTGCCAGACGCTGTAGACCAGTTCGGCTTTATCTGGTGCAGGGGAGGAAAACAGTGTATCTCTCGCACCCCATCCCAAATCGAGGACCACCTATTCTGCCGTGGTTTAATTCACGAAGATGGTGAAATGCAGATTGCCGTGTGAAGCAGCTAGATCCCTGTTGTGGACTGAGGGCTTCGTTTTCACCTTCCAGCTCCCGATCTGTACTCTGTGAGAGAGGACACTAATTCTTCTCCTTCATCCCCTTCCCTAAACCTTTCCTTGCTTCCATGTTGCATTGGTCAGACTTTTGGTCAGTGTTGTTTACGGAAGGGGAGGGGAAAGAAGGCAGTTGAGGTTACAAACAAAAGTACTTGTATGACTCATCTACTTGGATTTAAGACATTATATCCTTCTTTCAAGGGGCCTTTGCTTCTCTCTGAAGGAATCAGATGCTTGTTTCTATTCTTCCAGAGGAGGATGGATTGAAAGTTGTCCATTTTAGACTTTTCTTGGGCCACTGCTGATATTATTAAAGACATAATGGGGCTTTTTCACTGGATTATTGCCAGGATTAGTTTACACACTGAAACAATGAGTTGTTAGGCCTCTCATACGATAATATTTGTCCTGCTTTAATATAAAGTTGCTGCGGAGGTGCATTAAAAATCGTGGAGGACAGTCTGCATCAGGAGAGGCTCTCTTCGTCTCTGGTTGGTGTGGCAACCAGCAATCTGTCCTCGATGCCTTCAGCCTTGGCCATCTTCACTTGCCGCCCGAACTCTCATCCGTTTCAGGAGCGTCATGTCTACCTGGACGAGCCCGTCAAGATCGGCCGCTCCGTGGCTCGCTGCCGGCCAGCCCAGAACAACGCCACGTTTGACTGCAAGGTGCTCTCCAGGAACCATGCTCTTGTCTGGTTCGATCACAAGACAGGCAAGGTAAGATGTTTTTCTTTCTTTAAAAACGTACTGAGCTGCACGTTGGCTTCAGCAAGTCCCTCTAGGCTGCAGATCACCCTGGTTTTGCGGTGATAAATATGGCTGCACGTGGAAGGAGTAAGGTTTGTGTTAAAACGATTACTTTTCAGGTAAGTTGGTGATTTCTGACTCAGCAGAAACTTTAAATATTATTAAAAGTATGTAAAACTAACAGTTGAAAATGGTGATAAGTACTGAAAAACTTGCATGTGTATTATTCGTTGCTGGAAGTAGGTGATTTTCGGGTGAGTCATAGAAATGTGAAGGCACAGGCTGGTATCAATATAATGGTGTAATACCATTTGTTCAAATGCTGAGAAATTACCGGTTTATTTGAGCATGTAAATAAATCTCATTGTGAGGAGTGTCAAAGAATGGATTTAAAAAACCCCTTTGTGCTTGGCACGCTCACTCTTCCTACTTGTCCTATGGAAATTTTATAGAGTATTTTGTTTGGGTCTGCTAGAAGTTTTGTTGCTGGCAGCAGGAGTGTAACAACTGGCATACAAGGTGTATTTTCTCGTTGATAGTGAAAATGGTTTTAAAATATATCCTGTGTTGCCTTCACTGTTCCTCTCCCAAGGCTGGCGATCTTGTGAAGTGAAATTGAGGGGTTCTGTAGTGCGTGTTTTGTCCACTAGGGATTGAACTGGGACAAGTAAAGTTGTTTTACTTAATAACTGTCAAGTTAATTTTAAATATCCAGCAAGAAAAGAACAAAGTGCAGACCTCAGTTCCTCAGCGCTGTATTTTTTTCCGAACATATTCATGTTACACCCTAGAACTTTATGTGCCCTAAATCAGCTGATTGTTAACTTCACACCGTGCCCTTCTATGAAATGCAGTCAGTATAGCTCTGGATTTTAAGAGTAATGTGGTCTGTAATTCAGGTTTTTTAGTAATATGACACAGCATGAGGAGCAGTACAAGGCAGTCAAAGTTCGTAAACCTTCCATTGTTAGCTCTCCCGTGTTATGCAATCCTTGGGCATGATGGGACAAGACAAGCATTTAATTTCTTAAGGCTGGGTTATGGCATGGCTTTCAAGTTACCTGCAGGTAATTGTGCAAACTGCTATCTGTATGAAGTGTTTCATTAAGCATATTGCTTTGGCTCTGCTGTGTGTGTCATGTGCATTCTTGGACTCTTGAAAGCTTAGGTGCTTGAAATACTTTCAGTTTAAGCTTAGTTTTTAACATTTCCTTTGACTCAACAAAGTAAAATGCTCCAATTTATTGTACTGTCTTTAAATTAGAAATGTTGTGCATATAGCTTTTTATTAACATTTCTCATGACTAAGAAAGATTTTAAGACACCCCCCTCCGTGCTCTATTATGTTTACAAATAGTCCAACCATATTTAAGATGGTTAACTTGGCAAAGCACTGAGTGTCTGCTGACTTATAGACAAGCTTCAAGGACTATCAGCTGTGGGTTTTTTGGTTTGTTTTTAAATTTCACTTAGCTTTGGCTTTTCTAATATAGGTCAAACATTTATATGCTTATTCATTTTATCTGTCTGTTTTAAAGTAGCAGCTTGGCAGTAGGAAGTAAGAGGATGATATGTGATAGTTCTTGAGATTCCATGTGAAGATGTGATGGGAGTCTGCTAAAATTGCCCAGGTGGAGATCTGTAGCCATAGTGGTCAGCTGAAGAGTGAGTTTGGGATCATGGATAGGGATCCATTCCTGTGAGTGTTGCATGTTAGATGTGGTGGTGCTGTAAAAGGTTTTTTAAAGCATTGGTACAGCAGTGTGGAGAACTTCAGATTCTGTCTATGTTTCTTGGCAATATGGTCTGGTTTTTCACCTGGTAGAGTATCTGAATGATAAATTGTGAGATAGCTGGAGGAGAGGGGTAAATGCATTGTTAGAGATAATGGATATCAAATGCTGTTATGAAAAGCCAGGTGGAAGATATTGATAAATACAGACTTGATCCTGAATCACAAGAACCACTTTAAAGAATTCTGTGGTGTTTACAAAATACAAACAAAAACATAAAACTATGCCAGAACATTTACATGCAGGAACATACATTATCATTGTTTACAGAACTGCTAATAGGCACATCTCATTTAGGAAACTGTCATTATCCTATCAATGACCTAAATTTAAACTTGCACAAATTGTCACCGTATTTGTAAACATTTTTTAGAAGCTTATATGTAGGACTTTTATCAATTCTGGGTTTTTTTAAAGATAAAAGACGTTGAAATGTTAATTTAGTAGCAGAGAGAATAATTCAAAATGGTTCGTGAATGATCTGGAACTGCAGTTTCATTAGTTGTGGACTTTGGCCATACCAGTTTCTGGCATTCCCAGTCACTCAGTCCAGTCTGTGCTGCCTCTTGAGCTGCCTTTCAGTTATACTCCAATAGTCTTTTTTTTTTCTCTGAGGATTTGGAGTTTATTTTAGTGAATCATGTGAGTGATCCTGTTTACTACATGGTCTGTAAACAATTTTATCGGCATAATCTGTGAAGAGGGGTAGAACCCAAAGAGAGGGAGCATCAGTAAACAGTGGTAAGGAAACTACACAGTGTTTTTTCTGAGGCAGAGGTAGGCATAATTTGAAGTATGTCACATGAGTAGACCAAGTTGAAGATGACATTTTACTTACAGTTGAAAGATGTCAATGTTTACTTTGTATAAAGGCACTTCAATTATGCATGGAAAAAGTTATGTGCCCAAGGAGATAATGTCTATGTAACACCAGCATTATTAAAGATGAAAGTAGGATGGGTTTTCAGGATCACCAGTAAATAGCAATTAAAAGCAGATATTTAAATTTGGATTTGCTTTTTAAAATATTTTTAACATAATATCTAAGCTTAAATGTGTGTAAAATGAAGGTGGGAGGAGTTGGTGGTGGGATTATCTGTACTTGGACTTTTTCTGTGCTTACAGACAACCAGTGAAATGCCTCTTTTTGCTTTTGTTTGTAGGTAGAGCACAATAACCTCTTGTAAATTTTTCATACGGTGATAACATTAGAAGATTATGCTTAGAATTAATTTTTATTTCGTTTTTTTTAGTAATTACAAGTTAATCAATCTGGGTTTTGTAGAGATGCCTGAAAAAGTGAGTCACTAGATATGTAGGAAGTAGATGTTGTGCTGAGCATGGAGTGTTCCCAAAAGTGTGAATCAAAGCAAAAGGAAAAGTGGGCTATAGTTCAGAGAATGTAAATCTGTTTGCTCAGCTTATATCACTGCATACAGGAAGAAGTTCTTTCAAATTGCTAAACTGAAATAGTCTTAAAGTTGTTTTGGTTTTTTTTTTGGTTTTGTTTCCATTTTTAAAAATAAGCAAGTGGAAGACCCTGGAGAATTTGTATGTGACTTCTCCCAGGCTGAAATACTTTTGACAGATGTGGTAGAAACTTTTAGAAGAAATGTGAAGCTTCCAACAGATATCCAGGCTTTCAAAAATCGGAATTATTCAGTGCCTTAGATTGTTGTGACTTGCTATTATAACTACCTTTTATAGGGAATTCATTGCTGCAGTTTACCAAAGGCTCTGTGAAACTGTGTGAAAAATAAAGTATTTTCTTAGATCAAAAGGACTCCAAGTAACTGGTCATTTTTCATAACTTAAAAAAAATATGTATAGGCACAAGTTTCTCTGTTAATGGTATCCAGTACTACTGCTTTTGTTTAATTCAAAGTGGATATGAGTTGAATTGAGCACATTCATAGTATCTTCATGACAGAAACACTAACTAGTATATTGGAAACCATAGTCCACATAATAGTAAATGAGATTTATGAAGGCTGTGCTTTATGGCTTCTAGACTTACAATATGTGAGATAAAAATGTTACAGAATACTTCCTGCAGGTAGCACCCTCTTTAAAGAAAACAAACACAAACAACCCTCCCCACCCCCCAAAAAAACTCCACCAAACAAAAAACTTCCAAACAACAAACCAAAAAAACCCACAAAATAACCAACCAAAAAATCCCAAACCCCAACAAACCAAACACAACCAACCAACCCAAAACCCAACACCTCAAAGCAATCACCCCAAAGGTACAGCCAGGGAATTACAGACTGGCTTTGAGTCCCTGGGAAAATCATGGAACAAGTTGTGGAACACTTTTCTGGGCACATGAATAAGATGGTTTGGTAGTAGTCAGTGTAGAGTTGACAGGGGTAAATCATGGCCTGCTGAGTCCAATTGCACTGTGTGATAAAGTGACTCATTTTGTGGGCAGGACAGAGCAGGGCACACTCTGTACCTTGCCTTTAGCAGGGCTCTTGGCTCTTCCCCACAGTGGCCTGTCTGAGTTTGGGCACTGCAGTCTGGGTGTACGAGCGACTTGAGCAGTAAAACAGAACTGGTTTGGGATGGGGCTCCACCTTGGGGATGGGATGGGGTGTTGGTGACGAGCAGGATGCCACAGGGTCAGTGCTATGAGTTGTCTTGTTCAATGTTATTATCAATGACCTGGGGGACACAGTGAAGTTTAGTCGTGTTTGAAGGTGACACCATATCTGTTGGTGTGATGGGGAGTGAGTTGATATGCTCAAGGGCACGGCTGCCCTCCAGAGGGACCTGACCTTGCTGGAGGAATGGGCAGACAGGAACCTGAACAAGGACAAATGTGAAGTCTGCATGTGGAAAGGAAGAACCCCTTCCAGCTTATTAGACCCTGTCTGGGATACTGCATCTAATTCTGGACCACCAGTGCAAGAAATACACTAATAAACAGGAGTTGAAACGCTGGATGATCTCTCTTTGTGGTGTGTTGTACTAAGGATAAAAGTATATTGATCATGAAAGGAAGAAGAAAGAATGTGTAAAAAAGAAATATGTCTTTGACTTAACATTACATGGAATGTTTTGTGGATATCAAGAATTATAGAACATCTCTGGATATCCTATTTATTCAGAAGTATTTTAATAAATCTGTCTTAAAAAATTAAGTGGTGTATGAAAAATGGTATTTAGAGTTGC